TAATAAATAATAAGTGAGATATAAAATGCCAATATTTATATATATATGTAATAGTATTAATAATAATATACCTGTAATGATTGCGTATTACATCTTATTCTTCTTTTAGTGCAATTATATCTTGCCAGATTTTTTTTCTAAATACTTTTCATGCTAGTGTCTATGTCCTTCTTTGATAATGTGAAGTATTTGATTATTGTCGACATGGTATTTTGCAACACCATCTTTAATTTGTGAAAATAATCTCCTAAGAAATGTTTTTCGAATTCAAACCTTTTTTTCGCAGGGTTTGGTCTATTTTGTTCATCTAGATCATCAATAATCCAAAAGACATCAGTTTATTATATTAATAATAGTAATAATAATTATTAAATATTCTATGTATAAAACAAAATCGTCAAAAAAAAACATAAAATAAATTAGCTATAAGTATCAGGTCCTGATAGAAATATTAAAAATATAAAAATATATCATATTTTTGATATTTCTATCAGAACCTAATACTTATATTCAAATATCTAAATACTCTAAGTGCTTCTAAATGTTCATTATCACTGCTTATATTGATGTTTTTACTATTAGCACTGTTTTTACTATTACCGCTTTCATTACCACTGCTTTCACTATCACTATTAATAATAATTGGTGAAATCAGAGAGATTCGTTTTCTTTTATATATATTTATATACAAATAGCCTGGCTTAACAATACATAAAATTATAATATAAACTTTCCAATATCGACATATCACTAGCTAAAAAAATTATATTTTAACTAAACAATACCTCATAATATATATATTATGAAGCATTGTTTAATTAAAATATAATTTTTTTTTAACCAGTGTATATTACCTCTTGATGATAAAGAGGAAGAATGTCTTCTTTTGCTGCTACTAGTTTGGACCATAGTGCGTTCTCTTTGCTGTGGTTGTCTTCTATATAAAACTACAATGCCTCTATCTATTTTGGAAATGAAAGTGTAAAAAAAATAAAAAGAAAGAAGAAATTTATCCTTTTTATATTTCTAATATTTAAAAAATTACGTATTGCTAGTATAAGTGAAACAACAAAAAAAGAATTGATGAAATAAATAATATTTTTAATTACATCAACCTAATTATTTACTGTATATTTTAGAGAAAATACATATATTTCTATGTCATGCAATATTAATATCAGGAATTTAACATTTTAAAAAATTACATATTACTAGTATAGGCGAAATAGCAAAAAACAAATTGACGAAATAAATAATATTTTTAATTACATCAATATAATTAATTTTACAGTATATTTTTTTGAGCAATTAAATATATTTCTATATCATACTATATTAATATTGGGAATCTAACATTTTAAAAATTACGTATTGCTAATATAGACGAAATAGCGAAAAACAAATTGACGAAATAAATAATATTTTTAATTACATCAATATAATTGATTTTATGGTATATTTTTTTGAGCAATTACATATATTTTCATATCATTCTATATTTTATGCACTAATATCAGAAATTTTTATCAAAAAATCTGATATTAATTAAAAAATCTCTGATATCTGAATTGATTCTAATATATCTGAATTTCGTAGCTCCGTTCTATCACTACTTACTATATACTATTAGTTAACATCACACTAAGTAACAATTTATTAAAATATATTCCTAAAACTAACTCTAACCCTATATAATACATATTAGTAAATGTAAGATTATCAGAATAAATTAATAGTGCAGCCAAAATTCAGCAGATCAGCCAAAATTTAGAGTCAGAACGCATTGAAGTTATAGCAAAATTCATCAATTCTGATCTGGAATTTTGGTTGCGCTACTAATCTATTTAAAAGGGTTCAAATCCCGATATCGATATTAATATTTATTTATTCCCAATATTTATATTAATACTAATAATGAAAATCTAATTGTTACATAACTCATATATAAGTTAGAAAATAATTTTATTTAAATATATAAGATTAATACCAAATATATTTAATTTGTATATTAAAATAAAAAAGAATAAACTGATAATGATATAATATGTTAAAAACAAAACTGATAAGAATATAAGTTAATAAAATACAATTGAAATATCAGTATTTATAAATTGTACTTTTTATGTAAAGGAATTACAGTTATATAGATTTTTGAATTCTTTTTGATATCAATAGTATATGTACCTGCTATGAACTAGGAATATATCTGATGTATGAAAATTATACAGTCTCTGCTTAACTCATAAAATTCTTGATCCTACAACTCTATATTACAATTAAGATCATCACCTTTAATTTTCATATAGAACCTTGTCTCATAATTTTTAGCAGGCTTATACCATCTTACAAATGTAAGATGATATGTTTGTTCACCAGAAGGAAAATAGATAGTGTGATCAAAGTAGAATTGAACCTGACTAGGATATAAATCTGCTGATTTATCTTTTGAAGCAACAAATCTTGCTAGAATTCTTGAAGATTTGATATAGCGAGCTGAGAATGTAGATCTAAAAATTTCTGATCCTAACTTTAACCATCCATATTAAATAATAGCAGGAAATACAGATATCTGATCAATTCCCGATATACTTCCAGGTTTCGTGAATTGATAGTTTAGATCTGTCACATTATAGAATTCAACCAAAAGGTTTTGAATATCAGGTTGTAATATGGTATTTTCTAATTTTGAATCAAGAAATGTACTAGAGAATGATTCATAACCAAAGGCTTCTTCTTGGTTGATAATATTTCTTAAATTATAAAATTGAAGAAGATCTTGTGATTCAAATTCATCCAGAATAGCCATGCTACCACCTAATATTTGATTCTTTAGTATTGTAAGAGAATTGGATAGCCTGTTATCATTTCTAATATGTGATACTATTTTATCCAAACATTTATTCATGAGAATAATTTTCAAAAATTCTGGTTCTATATTCCTATAGCTACTTTTATTTTTTTTTTATTTTATTTTTTTTTTAATATTAAGGTGATCACGTTTAGGTCTGGCACATTTTATTAAACTTTGGATCGAATACCAGGGCAGCTACAGTGCTACCCCTGACTTTGCTACATTAACGAGGATACATACTAGCCATATGTATAACTTTTGGTTGTCTATTTAAGCAGTCTTGCATATGTAACCCATATGAACTACACTAGATGTCGTACCTGTAGCCCA